ATTTTCCCATCAAGTATCAAATGTAACACACACACACACACACACACACACACACATAGACATACATTTGTTTGTTCTAAGGTCTACTAACCAGAGACAGAAATAAAAATAAAAACCCCAGGCCCATCTCAAAAGATTCCTGAAATTTCAAACTAGGATACATGCATGATAGACCTGCCATATATATTTAGTGCCAGTTCCATCTTTCTTTCCTTTTGTGCTATCTTAGTTACTTTTCTTGTTGGTGAGACAAAATGTCCAAAATTCAAAGTTAGAGAGGAAAGGTTTATTGTAGCTCACAGTTTGTAGAGGTATCAATCCATAATTGGCTGGCTCCAAGGCTGGGTGGAATGTCACAGGGGCAACACAAAGGAGAAACAATTCATGGCAAATTAGGGCAGGCACAGGGCTCCAAGGCAGCAAAGTAGCAAGCAGCAGCAAGCAAAAACAGCAACTCTCTTTCTGTCTCTTATAGTCTATTCAGGATAGGTGCCCTTAGGGCAGGTAGCCCTAACACCCAGTGTGTGTGTTCCTATTGTGTACATTCACAACTATGCCAAACCAGCCAATGACCTAATTTAGTAATCACAAACCCTAAACCCTATCATCACACCTTCTAGATCCAACCACCTCTGATAAGCCTCACTTGTAGCAGCATGAAACTTTGGGGGAACATCTAGATGTTTTAACATAACATTCTACTTCTGGTCTCTAAAAGACACATTCTTTTATATAATAGGCATTTAGTCCATCTCTAAGAGTTGCTAAACTCCTAACATTTTCAGCACTGCTGAAAAGTTCAAGTCCAAAGTCTTCTCTGAGATGTTAAGTTAAACTCTTTGCTTAAAGTCACCATAAAACTGAAAAAAAGTAAAATACTTTTAATATACAATAGCAAAAGAACACTAAGAACCCAATCCTGAGGAATAGGCAGTAGCCATTCCAGAACATGGTGCTCTTGGGATCTCTTCTCAAAGCAGTTTCTTTTTTCACCTTTGTAATCTTGAGGCTGCAAAGACTAGAGCCTTGCTGTGTCTTGTGATATCCTCAAGCATCTTTCCATATGACTTGTTCCTTCTCAGCAACCAATGTCTCCTCTGCTCTACCTTTGCAGTGCACAGTTTTAGTGGAGCTTCCTTTCTTGCAAAATTCGTATTTTAAAATCATTCTGCTAGATTCTTTGTTCTTGATTCTTAACACAGATGTAGCTAACAGCACTAAATAGTAGCCATGCCCCTGCCTCAACATTAGACTATCTTGAAATTTCTTTTGCAGATTAGTCTATTGTTCTTAGTCTCAGTCTCAGGCAAAGTCTATGGACAGGACCAAAACAGAGACAAACTTTCTGCCAAGGCATAATTCACATTGGAGTTCAACAACCAACACAGTCTTTCTTTCCAGCAGAAGATTCCTAAGCCTGGCTTTTCCTGGCAGTATTTCTATCAGAATTCTAATCTTTTGACCTTTAACCAGAATCCCCTATTAAGTAAATCTTAAGACATGCCAGGGCTGCTTCTTCAGTCAGCATCTCTACATCTTTCCAAACTCTTCCTGCAAGCCAGTTCCAAAAGTTCCTGAACCACACAGTCATCACAGCAATGACCCCATTTGTGGTACCAAAATCTTAGTTTACTCACTTCTGAGACAAAACACCTGACATTATTTGTTAAGGACAAATAATTTATTTCAGCTCATAGTTTGTCTGTAATTGGCTGGCTCCAAGGCAGGGTGGCATGGTAGACAGATATCAAAAAGAACAAACAGTTCATGGCAGATAGTATTAAAAGCAACAAGCAACAACAGCAGCCCTTTCTCTCCCCTATATGCTAACCAGGCTAGATGCCTTTAGCATGAGTAGCACTCACACAGTGGGTGCTTTCCACTGTTACACTCAGAACTATGCCAAACCA